TTGATATCAACCATACAAGTTACAATCATTAAGCAACAAGCAATTTCAAAACAGTCAAATATCCTTAGTGGATTTAGTGACTTCTTCTCTACTGCATATCAGACATCTCTTACAACTTCTTCTTCAAAGAAAGATTATAATTTGATCTTCATCAGGCCTCAACTCAGTTAACACTATACGTGTGTCGGCAGACTACTAACATAGCACACAACTTTGGCTCCTTGAATCAGGGATATCTGATATCGGCAAACTTTCGTATGGATGTTTATTATTTTTGCAAAATGCCATTGTACACCTGCCATCATCGGACATTCGTCTGATATTTGCCGGCGATTCTTTACTTCAACCATCATTGGATTGTCGCTTGACTGCTACTTACAGCGCACCTTCGAACTCTCTCCTTCAGCTCTCCACTCGGTCATTGACTGTCAATAAACTTCCGCTTGATCGTCCATCGCCAACAGACTTTCCTCAAATGGAGTTGAAATTTGTCCCATCTACTCGTCACTTCTGGTTCTCCTCTAGGACACCATCATAGTCAGATCTTCTCAAATCACCCTCGCATATAAACAACAATTGATCTTCTTCTGCCAAGGGTTGTTTGTTAAGAAGATAGCCTTTCATTGCGACTCCTACACAAGAAAGGGGTACTGAAGCTTGATAGGGGTATGTCGCCTATCTCCAACAGTAGAATGCCTTCAATGTAAGAAGAAGTTCGCAAGAGAAGAATAAGAAGGAAAAAATTCTAACTTCTATACTTGGAGAGGGGCCCTGAATTTTAGTAGGGGATGCCACCTATAACAAACAGGGGAATGCCTCAACTGTAAGAAAGTTAGAATGAGAGAGAAGAAAGAAAAGAAACATATGCAAAAAGTCTAACTTCTGTACGAGAGGAGGGGCGCCGATTGAAGTAGGAAAAATTACCTACGAAAAACAACGAAATGCCTCGACGGTAATAAGATAGCTAGAGGAGAAGACAGTGGAAGGAGAAAAAATTTTCTTCTACATTAAAGATGGGCGTCTATTTAAGTAGGGAAAATCACCTACGAAAAGTAGCGGAAGGCCTTTAGAGCAAGAAGAAAAATAGGAGAGAAAGAAGAGAAAATTCAAACTTCTGTACAAGAGGAGGGTCGCTGATTTAAGTAGTGAAAGTCACCTACGAAAAATAGCAGAAAGCCTCAACTGTCAAAAAGCCAGAAGAAGAAAAAGAAGAGAAAATTCTAACTTCTGTACAAGAGGAGGGGCGCCGAATCAAGTAGGAAAGTCACCTACTGAAAACAGTTGAAAGCCTCAACTGTTAGAAAAATAGAAGGAGAAAAGAAGAAGGTGCAAATTTTCCCCTGGCCTTAGGGGTATTTATAGCGTTTTTGGAGAAGAAAAGAACATTTCAGAATTCTCTGGAATTTTGTGGAGTTTTCCCAAATTTTCTAATTTTTTTTAGAATTTTCTAAATTTTTCTGGATTTTTTTTTGGAATTTTTTAAGAGTTTTTTGAAAATTTAGTCGGCCCCACAAAATTTTTTTTTTGAAAAATGTTAACTGCCGGCCAAACCACGGATCTCGAGGCGAAAATCAAGTTGGAAATTTCAAAAATGAAATCCGGGATTATCTGAACTTCGATTTCAGCAAACTTATAGTCAAACTGAGCGTCTCGCAAATACGAACCTAACGACACCAAATTGGACTCAATCCGAGCCCAAATGAGTCCAAATCAAGGACCCGAAGCTCTGTTGGAAGGTTCGAACCACAATTTGGATTACCAAACAGTTTCCAAACATGACGAGTTTATAGTCGAATCGAGCGGCTCGATGAGACAAATCCAACGAGCCCAAGATCGCCAAATTCTGATATCATTAAGACCTTCAAATGTCTGATAAACGGTTCACGATCAAAGGATTCAATATTGGCCGTCCATTCGAATCACTCCATATTTGCCCCTGATCTCTCATCTATTTACGGGCCATGCCACTCCAAAAAATCTATAAATAGACCCCTCATTTCTCTTGAGAGGGGACCCAAGCAAGAAGAAGCAAGAAGAAGAGACGAAGAAGAGAAGAGAGAGGAGAAAGATAGGAGGGAATAACTCCTCGACCACCGTCGAAGTTCTGCCCAATGTCGGAGTGGCGTCGGAATTCTACCGAACGCTAGAGTGACGTCGAAATTCTGTCGGACGCCCGAGTGAAGCCAGAATTCTTCCCAAGTGACGTCAGAATTCTGCCTGACGTCGGAATTCTTCCCAAGTGACGTCAAAATTCTGCTCAACTTTGGAACGACGCCGAAATCCTGCTCGCGTTGTAACTGGCTTTCAATCCTAAAGAGATTCATTGTAACATGATCGTCCTAAATTTTAAGGATGAGTCAGCCTGTTGTACTTCAAGCGAACACTAGTGGAACTATTTCAACTGGGCATGGCCCCGTGGTTTTTCCCTTTCAGGGTTTTCCATGTAAAAATCTTGGTATCTCCAGTGAATGACGTACCCTCTCTTTTTATCTGTGTGCGTGCCGGATTTTCGTACAATGCTAAGACATTAATTTTATATTTCTCTACCGCCGCGAATACTCCTGGATGCAGCAAGGATGTTAGTATTTTGATTAATCATATCTTATCAACCATATGGTTATACGGTATCACCTATCATATATTATAAATCATATCAATATCAGTCATAGTTAGGTGACTTTATATAGGAGTTGTTACTCGAATCAGTCATATCACTGCCCTCTTATACCGCCTATCATATCATATCTTGTGTTTTAAAAAAAAAAGACCTTTGGATCATCCCTGCACAGGGTTTCATATCATGTCTTCGCCAACCTGAATCATTCTCATTTAGTATACAACTTTTCTTGCATGCTCACATTTCTTGATTGATATGCATGCATATCATATTTATGATGCATAGGTAGTATTATGTAAATCATGATGACAATATTTAATAATCAATATAACATGCTTATTTTCATATATTCTTATTCAATGAGTAAATTAATATATACATACATTGTGTATGCATGTAAATCATTTTATCCAAATCTTAATACAGTAATCATTTGCCAATTTCATGTGCATATTTATTTTATTTTTCTTAGGTGTATGCTTCAAATAAAATACCCGGTGAAATATCAAATGATCATGTAAGTGCGTAGAATGATCGGATTTACATTATACTAACAGTTATATGATGAAAACTTGCTAAAATTCTAGATATCACATGTTTTTTAATTTTTAAATCAATTTTAAATCCATAAATATCAAAATCATTGAAAAAAACATATGGTAACGATGACCTACTCGGAGAGGAACACTTTTTCTAAGTGGTTTGATGGACATAACTAGCTATACGGCCTTGAACCTGTCTTTCTCTTTCTTCCTTTGCCTCTCTTCTCCTCTTCACTTTCTCTTTCTTCTTCTATTCTATCCTAGCTAAATGAATGAGGTATGGGACTTAGGAGAAGTGGGTTTAGATATTTATATATTTATGGGACTTAGGAGAAGTGGGTTTAGATATTTATATAAAAACTCTTAAAAGTGCTCGGCCCCGCAATAATACCTTACCCAATGCCGTTGTGCTCCAAGAGATTGCTCATTCTTTAGAATCTTTCTATAACTTGAGACCTTAGCATTGCAACATCTTCACCCCAGTGCAGTCCACCAAACATAGAAGGCAGCGCTCTTAAGAGCCTTAATTTTCTTTCATTTTAAAAAGCGTTTAGCATTGCAATGCTCCCCACATTAGCACTGCAACGCCCTCAAGGACAAATCTATCCTTGTCAAAAATTCATTCCAAATTCAATTCACAAGTTTTATTTTCAATCTTCCAAATATCAATAAGGCCAATAATACTTAAAATTCTTTTGAAGTCCTATTCGATCAACATATATTCTATTTATTGTAAAAGCGGGTATTAACAACCATACATACACATGGTTGTAAAACTAAAATAAGGCTTGTGTAGTATGTGCTAACATCTCATCATCAAACATGAGAATGTCCTACCTTAGTCGAAATTATGACTGACATGATTAAATAATAAGTGAATGCATGTACGGGTTGAGTAAGCAATGGACATCACTTGATGTTGGAGAAGATCACTTACAAATAAAACATAGAAGTATGCATTTGGACCAAGATGCAATTAAATCGTGGAATTTGCATGCGCTAATGCGATAGTCAAGGCACTTAAAACCATCGCACATAGTAGCAAACAGTGTGAAAATCAATGAAATAGAGCTATCGTGTAATGCGATGTATGCGACAAATCAATTGATAAAGCAATGCGCAAAAAGTATAAAGAAAAACTCATCAAAATTGTTCCACATGCAAATCGTGGTGTCCAAACAAAATTGGTCTGCTCACAATCAAGATGCTACAAATTAGCATTCCAAATTTCAGTGGGTGAAACACATTTTTAATAATTTTGTGAGGGTAAAAAACCGTGAAAATGCTTGAACATGATGGCAAGAAGGAAGATTGGTCCAAGCAAGAATAATCTGCTTGATCATAGACTTGCTGTTTCTATCTTGCTCATTCCCAGGAAAAATAGGTGCATATTTATTAACTACTAGAATAAGGAAGTTTGTTATCACTATATAAGACATCATTCTCCTGAACCATAGTTTACTTTATAATGATATTTTATTTTTTTTATACTTTTCACAACCTTTTGTTGATTTTTAATATATACATATGCGGTGAAACTGATACAGTTTTATTACGTGGTGTGAAATCTCGTCAATGAATGGTTGTTTTTGCCTTGCGAACTGTAACGTTTTCCCTGATTTATTATTATTATTATTTTCATATATCATTTTTCCACATTGATGGCATTCTAGGTTTTTTGAAAGAGACGATACCTTATGCAAATCCTTATTATTGCTTAAATCTTGACTCTTCAGTTCAACTTTGTAACCTGAGCAGCATTTTCTTTCAGCTCAACCTCCAGTAGTCTTGTTTCCATTTAGTTATATCCTTGTTTATTCATCTTTTCTTTTTATTTGCAGATTAATTTTCGAAACAGTGCTAAAACTTCGTGGTGGACCCTCTTTAGTTTTTGCACATTCACTTGGAAATAATGTTTTTCGCTACTTCTTGGAGTGGTTGAAACTAGAAATTGCACCGAAGCATTATATCCGATGGCTTGATGAACACATACATGCATATTTTGCAGTTGGTGTGCTTTACTCTTTTTTGCATATCTTTTAAAATAATTTTTTAACTCTGCAGCTGTCTTTGCTTAGACTTATTATAATAAAATTTCAGGTGCACCTCTTCTTGGTGCTACAGAAACCGTGAAAGCTACTTTATCTGGATTCACATCTGGCCTTCCAATTGCTGAGGTCTATCTTGGACTCTATGCATTTATTTGTGCTTCAATGCTTATACTTGATTTGCTATACTTGAATTCTTCCATTTTGTTTATTTTATCTCTGTACTTCCTTTGTGCTACAGAAACTAGAAGTTGCCCTAATCTTGAATTATCATGTTAAAAATTTCTAGTTGGCATCCTCTTGAAATTTAAATCACTATTATGGATTGGGTTAAAAGTTCGACTAGGACTGTATTTGTATGTCTACAGATGGCGTTATTTCTCTAACTATGTCCTCCAGATTCTTTGTATTTGTATGTCTACAGATGTTACGTTAGGAAGTCCTTTCTAGAATAGATTACCTAGCAGTGTCGAATGGATTTGATCTGTTTCCGTTTATTTTCATTATTATTTGCTCAGAATGGATTTGATCTGTTTTCCTTTATTTTCATTATTATTTGTTCAGCATGTTCCTAATTGATGTTTACTCTTTTGGCATGGGCTTTATAATAGCTTTGTATTTCTTATCCAAAGTAGAGAAAATAATTTGTTTTTTTTCCTTTCTCTTACCTTGAATTGACAAATTCTGCTATTGTTTTCCTGTTTTGACTGCTATTTTTGCCATTCTATATTGCACCTTGTGTCTTTTACCGTCAGTGTAGTACTCAGTGCTTGGAAGGATTTGCTTCACTTTCCTTTTTAGCATTCACTCTACTTCACTATGGATGCTTTAGGTATTTGATTAAGTTCCACAGCTTGGGTGATTTTTTTAAAGATTTGGGCAATGTTTGTTTTATCATACTATGTAAGGCCTTCAGTGGAGTTAATACTATATGCAGCTTTCAATAAAAATGAGAATTTCTGTTTTTTTGGAGTTGGCGAAGGTCATTGCGAGTGTACTGGTTTGTACGATGTTGATTACACCCCAACTTTTGGGGTGCTTACCTTTCTCCCATTTCTGTTTGTTGTTATAAAGGAGGATATCGATACTTATTTGCATGCTAAGTGTCTCATTAATGCTGCTGTAAAGTGAAAATGTCATACATGTTCAGTAATTCGTGTTCTTTGACATAAGTCGTGCCAGTAGACAGTTCTCATCAAAGTTTTAGATAGTGTTAACTAGTTCTCAAATGGATATTTTATCAGCCGTTCTTATGACTGTTCATGAACATAAATCATCAGGGAACTGCTAGGTTGTTGTACAATTCCTTTGGTTCTTCCTTGTGGTTAATGCCATTTTCAAAAAACTGCAAAGCGGATAATGTATATTGGAAACATTTCTTTGATGGAAAGGGGGATCACCTGCATACACATCATTGTGATGATGTTGAATTTCAATCAAACTACTCTAGTTGGCCCACAGATATTATAAATATTGAGGTTCCTTCCATTAGAGGTTTTCTTCTATAAAATTCTCAGTTTATTTTACGAAGCAATAGTATGATTTCTACTGTTAATCTTACTAGTTGTGTGTTTTAGGTAGTGATGCCTATCCGCCAATGTCTGAAGTTTCCCAGGATTTAACCTTAAACATTGAATGTGGAAAGCCCATTCAGCTAGCCTTTTCTGCTAGGGAAGTTTCTGATGGTACCTTCTTCAAAGCAATAGAAGATTTTGACCAAGACAGTGAAAGGCTCTTGCATCTTCTCAGAAAGTGAGTCAAAGTTCTTTCAAGCTAATTGGATGTTATTGTCGATATTTGAACTATTGTCTGTTAATTACTTCGCTACAAATGTTTCATACCTAACAACGATGTGCCACTTCATGCTTTGCTTGAGGATAATGTTTCTATTTCACATCCCTATAATGTCATGAATGAATAGGTCCCATAAGATCCGTAGAATAAGCAAACGTTACACCATAAGGGATCTCCGTAGAAATTTCTCCACCCCTTGAACCAATTTAGTTCATAATATAGGATCATTTAAATCAGGTTTATTTATTCGAATATTTTATATCTTACGGATCCATCTCTTGAAAGAACTGGACATGATCATTTTTCGCATCTAGCTATTGCAAGAACCATAAGAATGATAGAAATAGATCCATAGAACATACAAATCTCATAGAAAATTCATATTACGTACATATCAAAAGAATTCAGTCAAGATGCCTACAGTAAGTAATGTGGCGTTTATTACTTTGGTTTTGAGTATAATAAGGGAGAGTGACTCATGAATGCTTGTTCGGATTCCTGTTGAAAGCTTGGGAATCGCTGTTGATCTGCTTGTTGTTTTTTGTGCACAAGTTGATTGCCTTCAATTGCTTTTAAGGGAAGTATGTGGGAGAGAAATAAATTGAACTGCAAATATTTTGCGCAAGGGTCTGCATTATATGTGTTACACTATAGTTGTAATTGTTATTGATAAAGCCAATAATTTATGCTTGATGCGTTGATTTTATGAGGTTGACTAATTTAGGGAATGCTTAAGGTATATGGTCTCTGGGTAATTCCAAGCCAAGAAGCTATCAGTAGTGTTGGAATTTGGGCAGCGTTATTATTCAAGTTTAGGATATGTATTGCAATAAATTTGGTTTTCTTTCCAAAAATATTCTGCAATTTCTTCCAAAAAAAGCTTTCTACGGTGACAATGGAATATCGATGACAAGTGTTTGTGCGGCTTGTATCTCATTTAACATCTTAGACATTTAAACCTGATCAACGTTTGAGAGGATTTTTGTTAGCTTATTTGATATTTGAAACGTTTCTATTGTGAAAGTTTTGATCGAACCTAAGCATGTTTAAGATGGTGATTTTGAGTTCAGAGTTTTAGAACTTGGCTGAAAATATGTTTCCATGTTTCAGATGGGACCAATTGAAAGATGGACCTTTTTTTGTTCTAATTTTTACCCAACTCATTAGCATTTTGAGCAAGTTTTTGCCACATTGCAAAAAAAAAAAAAAAAAAAAAAAAATTTCACTGCCAAAAAAAAACCATTCATCGGCCAGTGCCTAGAACTAGTTATCTTCTGTTGTTGCCCCATTATCATCATGCCACCAACTCATTGAAAAAAAAAAAAAAAAAAAACCAGGGTGCTTAGCTGGGGATTGAGCCAGGTACAATTCATTAATGCCAACAATCTGAAACGTCAAGCTATATCACATATTGTGACAAATAAGCTCTTTTTTTCAAATCCATGATGATGCTTTGCATGGTTTTCTGTATTTTGAACAATAATTTTTTTCCGAGCATTTCAATTAGTTTACTCATCCAATTCATTAATATCATTTGTACATGATGCTATTGAACAACTTAATGTATGTCAATTTTAGGTGTACGTTTTGAGAAACTACCTATTCATAATTTTGAATTTTAATGGCATATCAAGTATGTCGTACTCAGCATACAAATTGATTTTAAAATTTAGATCAATATTTGTTATAATAGTTAACATTTCACATATACATTTGAAATGTGGTGTTAGTTGCGCATACAACATTTAACTTGGCCCTAGTAAAATATTTCTGTTTGGTTGCTTCATTATTTGAGACAGTTTACCTCTCTGTTTTTGGCCATTGCATGCGCCTTCTCTAAATAAGTGAATTTTAAACTTTTGCAGAGTTTAAGGTTGCTTTTTTCACTGAACTAAGTGCATGTATGCCATCATTATCTATCCTATCCCAACTATTTGGTGTTGGCATTTTGAATTTTCATTTTCCTTTTGTTTCTGCTGAATTTTACTTGAGTTTTTGAATTCATTGTGTGCAAACCTTTTTGAACTCCTATCCATGTTGTTTTCTTCCTTCGATATAAATTTTATCTTTTTGTTGAATGGGCACATTTTCTATCGTTCTTTAGATAATCCAAACTACCTTATTCTATTTTCAAACACCTTATCTTTAATAAATGCTATTCTTACCATTTTTCTTATAGAACTGAAGGCCCTGAAAATTTGCGCCCTGGCCTCCCTGTGCTGTTTTTTTGCTTTCGCTCGAGGAGTTTTAACATATTAGGTTATGGGGGAAATTTTAGGAAGGCAGATTGAGATTGTAGATAAGACACTACCCAGAGATTTCGCCCTCATTTTACGAGGACTTTACGATATGAGTTCTAGTTTCCTATAGGCGCAAGCTCCTATAGTTAATTATCCCTCTCGATTACGAGAGAGAACTTTCGATTAAGGGGGGAGTGATGATGAGCCTGATCAAGATCCCATGGTTCTGTCGTCCCGGGCCATCGTGGTCCTCGGTCTACTTAGTCAGATGAGGTAGTCGACCCAACCGGGCAGAAGGATCATTATCAGTGGCCATGGGTTGCATCGTCCAATGTTACCCTGTAGATCTGGGATGGATGTTTGTCTAAGGGGACAAGATTGAATCCACCTTAGCTGACAGAGAACTTTGTGCCCTATCGATTATATTATATTGATTCATTGCTCAATGATTTGACGCCATTGGTGAGCATATGTGCGCTGACCATGACTGTAATATAATGGTGCCATTTAACAGCAAATCATCCGGTTTAGAGGGTCCCAGTCATAACCGTTTACCTACGATGCCATTTAGCGGTGAAATCGTAAGTTAGATGACACTTGCCATGTCCATACTGTCAAGAGACAGATTGAGAATGAATCATAGTAATATTCTCGACTAGATATTAGCTATTTGTGAGTTGAAGTAGTTTTCAGATTTGTCCACCTCGGTAAACCTTTGCAGAGGGTGGATGGATGTTTAAGCTTTAAGTGGTTTGAGGGTTAGTTTCAATTTTAAATATCTTGATTTTTGAGACGTTGGATTTTGGATTTTTATGGGCGTTTGGGTGTATTTTGACAGATATAATTCCCTCCAGTTGAGATGAATATTCAACACGGACATCATCTAGGTGTATGGGGTCATTTGAAAATATTTGTATTATGTGAAAGTTTGAGGGTATTTAAAAAAAATAATTGATCCCATCTGGTTGAGATAAACATTTAACGCGGCTATCATTGGGGAGTTTATAAACATTTTGTTTTATTGATTGAACCTTGTTGACTCCATCTACTCGCTGACAGAAGATTGGGTTCTAATCTAAATTTATTTCTTAATCCGCACAGTGTTCTTAGACGCCACGTGTGTACCTACGACACGCTTGCCATGGCCTATGCGGGTATATGCCATTAGATGTATTTTATATGATGCATTCATGTGTTTATATGATAGTACTTTTGAAATGCAATTGTAGCGTCAAATGACACACTAGAGTTAAACCCTCTGCTTATGCAAGCAGATAATTTTTAAGTGCACTTATAATGTTAAATGACATACTAGAATGATACACTCTACTTATGCAGGAGGTTCTTTTAACATGCAACTGTGATGTCATATGACATGCACGTGTAATGCATTATGTAAATTATGACACATGCATATGCAACATATTATCATGCAAGTGCAATGCATATATGAGGGGGCATTCTAAAATGTTTGCATGTGGTGCAGAGGGGTGTCCGGCTGTATATGTGACTAATGTTACTGAATGCGTGGGGCTTTATTTCAGGCTTTGTTGACGCCTTTTGTCTGGTTGTACGAAGTTTGCATATCCGGCGGTGTGGCGTTGCATTTTAGCGGCCCGTGGTTCTTGCTACCAATTACTTGCTTTTGCTTACAGAAGAATCGTAGCATTGTCATCTGATTGCCACGAGATACCTCATTGTTTTGATATAGACTTACTTTTCTCATTCATCAGGAGATCAGATATTGTTATATTGCTTTGTTCCTGACTCGTTACGAGGGAGGGACATTAAGTTAATGTACTTGCTCTCCGAGTCTTCACCTGAATGGCGCGACACATTTTTTGGAGCCTCAGTATTTTAGAAGAGATGATAGAATGAGATATTTTTTCTCTTCTTTTTTTCTTTTAAGTGCTCAGTCTTTACTTCTACAGAATCATTCATAAAATTATTTGACTTCGCGTCATAGTGTCGTACTTGGTGCCTTCCGCTGACAATAGATTAACAGGCTTCTTGCAGCAATTTGCAGATACTTGCGGTTACTGAAAGTCCTCAATATTTCTATAGAAATGATAAGATGAAATATCTTTTCAATTAATCGTTTTTTGACTCTATAGAATCATTTAGTCAAATCATTCAATTATGCATAGTTCCCGCCACCGTTAGAGTCTTTCTTTGATGACGTATCAATTGCTTTCCTCCGTACACCAGGTCACCTTCATATCCGACTATTAGACTCTTTGAAGTCATTAAATAGAGGACTTTTAATTATACTTGGTCAACAAAGCGCTCGGCCTCGACGAGGTGAATGTACTTCTACACTTGAGCGGGGCCTATCATGCTTGTAGCTTCTCAATCACTGCTGTTGCAAGTGTTCTTGGGGGGAAACTATTGTATGCATTCATCACTGGTCGTCAGTCACTTGATGATAGGCATATTCATATACTCACATGCATGCTAACATTTGATTGTCAAATAACCAGTGTAGCCACTTGACTATTGGACGGTTGTTGACTGCAAGGAGGATCTAACACCTGTTGCACATTATTCATCATCGTCCGTACATGGACTACCATATGCGACATATCAATAGTAGGTATTATATGTATTTATGTCCACAGGGGATTCGCTGTACTTGCGATGTACCCTCTGTTGTTATCCACAAATATAATATCAATTGTCATTGCTTGTAGATGAATCAACGCTCTTGTTCATCTGCTC